ATCTTTGTAATCCCATTTATTTATTTAGCAATATTCTATTTTGTCATTAAACTGTTCTCGACTGCTCTCCTCATCCCCCCCCCCCCCTTCCCACCGATTCCCGCACCACTCTCTCCTCACATGCTCATGCCACAAGCATTGTCACAGTCTGATAAAAGAAAGTCTGATTATGGCCTCAAATATTATGAAATGTCGACCACAGATAAAGTATCATTCCGTCTTTAGTTCCCTTTCTTTCTGTTTCTGTTTATCTCTCAATTTCCCCATCTCTCTCTCTCCCCCCCCTCTCTCTCTCTCTCTCTCTCTCTCTCTCTCTCTCTCTCTCTCTCTCTCACGCACACACGCACACACACACACACACACTCAAACACTCACAAACACACACACACACACACACACACACACACACACACACACACACACACACACTCTCTTTCTCTCTCTCACTCTCTTTCTCTCCGTCACTCGGTCTTTCTGTCTGTCTGTCTGTCTGTCTGTCTGTCTGTCTGTCTGTCTGTCTCTCTCTGCCTCTCTCTGGGATCTGTATTACTACCACGATGAATAAAGTAAGGATACCATCCCTTCTCTATCGCTACCCCCCCCCCACCCCATCCCTCTATCCTCTCTCCCCCTTTCCCCCTTCTATCTCCTTCCCACCCCCACCCCCATCCCCTCTCCCCCCCCCTCTCTCTCTCTCTCTCTTTCTCTCTCTCTCTTGTGTCGTGGAAACCGTGACCCCTCCCTCTCACTCGTGATCATTCACTGACGGATCTGAACTCCTCCAGCTATCGATACAGTGAGCGCATTGTGTCTTTTTATTTGCCGGAGATCCCAATATAACCCAGATTACTTGGCTTCCCGAAATAATAAAATCTGAGTCGTTTATAACTAAAGATGGATGATACTGATGGTGACTTTTATCGGTTCAACGGGAATTAATTATGGATAGCATGCAGAATAATGGTACGTATGAATCTTCAGTTTTCTGATGTAAATTGTTATGAAAAGTTCTGTTGTTAGAAAGTTTTATTGGGTTTTTTTTCGGTTTGACTATTGTTGCTTTTTTTTCTTCTTCTTTTTGTTTATTTTTTAAAAGTTTCATTACTGTATGATCAAAGTTACTCCCCTGCACTCACACTCTTTTG